ACTTGGAATACTGCAACCAATTTTGGTCACCATACTACAAAAAAGATGTTGAGACCTTGGAAAAAGTTCAGAGAAGAGCAACTAAGATGATCCAACGCCTGGAGACTAAAACATATGAAGAACAGCTGTAGGACTTGGATTTGGCTAGTCTAAAGAAAAGAAGAAACAGGGGCAACATGATAGCAGTATTCCATGTTTGAGACGCTGCCACAAAGAAGAGGGTGTCAAATTATTCTCCAACGCACCAGAGGGGAGGACAAGAAACAATGGTTGGAAACTGATCAAAGAGAGAAGCAACCTGGAATTAAGGAGGAAGTTCCTAGTAGTGAGGACAATTAATCAGTTGGAACAGCTTGCCTTTAGAAATTGTGGGCGCTCCATTTACTGGAAGTTTTTAAGAAGAGACTGGACAGTCACTTGTCTGAGATGTGTAGGTTCTCCTGCTTGAGCAGGGGGCTGTACTAGAAGACCTCCAAAGTCTCTTCCAGTTCTCTTCTCTTCTGTTCTCTTCTATTGTTGCTTTTCAAATTGTGGGTATAAACAGTCTCTTTGAAGTGAGAAATGTATTTGATAAAAATAAACAAGAGATCAAGGTCACAAGATTCTAATGGATTTTAAAATTCTTTGTAGCCTAGTGAGGATATCAGGCTTTAATAAGCATTGACATATCTACATATATTCTACATACTTTTTTTCACTATTGGGACATCAAGTAGCTGAAGTGCCAAGAGGTAGTTAATATATCTACCCAGAACTAGCAAATTAATTGCATTAAATAAACTTCATCAACATCAAAGAGAGATTTGGGTGATACTTAGATAAATATTTGAGTTTCAAATTATTTAACTTTTGATTAAATAAAATTAAGTTCTGGGAAATAGAGATATTGTTCCAACTTGCACTTTTATGATGAAGACTGCTGGAATGAGCTGGAGTGAATTTACATTTACTAAGCACAGCAGTTCCATTGGGTCATTTTTAACTTCTTTCAGCAATGAGATGGTCTAACCATTTGAACAGCTGTTGGACAGCTGGCTAATGGACCAAAAAAGTGTGCCAACTGACTGCTGCTTCCCTATACTTTTTCCTCTCTTTTATTAAACATGTTGAAAGCAGGATGGATGTCCCAGCAATATGAATATTGAGCAACGGAGGAGACAATCCTTTCCTGCTGTGTTTGAATTTTGCCCTCATTTTTCCATACATAAACGAAACATTCACATAGGGAGAATGCAAAAAGATGAAAATTAATGTGCATTTTAATTATTACAAAGGTAGGATTGATATATGAATGTTGCTCTTGCAGTTTATTTAAATGCTGAATACCAACAAAACTCCCACCTAAAAATACACACATACATTAATATATTATCTTAGAACATAATAGAAGTAATATTGAACCCCCAAGGAAGTTGTTAAGAATTATTTTGTTAGATGGATGTAAAAATGCATCATTATTGAATCAAACGTTTTGGATATTATCATTTTACAATTATAGTAACGTACCAATTAGCAGGTGCTTCATTAATAGCTAGATGTGTATCAGTCAGTGCTAGTAGGTCTAACCCAGTTATTGGCTGTATTAAAATAAGCATTGCATCAAATATGTTTGAAGTTGTTATTCTCCTCTAATCTATCACACATGGAACATAGTGAATGATTCTGGGTATTGCATTTCCAGAAGGATTGACAAATTAAAATAAGTTCAGAGGAGGGGACGAATATTGATACAGATACATGACATGCCCTGTGAGGACAGCTAAAAGAACTTGGGATGATCAGATTGGAGAAAAGACTGAGGAAAGATATCTCAGGGTTCAGGTGCATAAAAGGGTGCCTTAGAGAAGATGGTCAGGAACTATTTTAATTGCCCTGGAGACAAGGTCCAGAAATAATACCCAACGAACAATAAATGAATACATACAAATGATGGGTATAAATGTGGGAGTCTGGATGGGAAACAGCAGGCTTCAGCTGAACTTGATAAGACCAAATGGCTTTGGATTTTAGGGCCTTCTGGATCTGGGACTTTAATGGGGAGTTTCACTGCCCAATCAGATCTGGCACGCAACTTGGAGGTCCTACTGAACTCATATGGCTTCTGCTCATAGAGCAGATGCTAACTGGCAGGAAGACCTTGTACTAGTTGTGCACTGGATGAGGCTCTGCTTGCAGTTACTCATGACCAAATGGACAGTTGTAATGTACTCTATATGAGGCTGCTCTTGAACAGCATCCAGAAGCTTCAGCTGCCAGAAAAGCACAGTTATGCATGCCCATAGAATGGCATACATTCAACCTCTGCTCTGTGCACTGCCTTGATTGTTGATTTGCTTCTGTTTCAATTCAAGGTGCTGGTTTTGATCTTTAAAGCCCAAAAGGCATGGGATCAGGTTATTTGAGGGACTACCTTTCCCCGGATATTTCTACTCATCCCATCAGGTCCAGCAGGAGGAGTGTGTATGAGTCCTGTCTACTAAAGAATTCCATTTAATGGTACCTGGAAGGCGGGCCTTTTCTTCCACAGAATCTGCCCTTTGGAACATCATTGCCTCTCGCCCCCTCCCACTCCCCATGATAGATTAGTCCTGACTCTATAGGCATTTAGGATCTCCCTGAAAACAGTTTTTCCACCTGGCTTGGGACTGCCATGGAAATGGGGAGCCCAGGAAATTGTAGCACTGTGTGTTGGGATGCTGGTTCATTCTCCTTATTTATATTGTTTAATTCTTTTATCTGTTTTAACTGGTATCTCCATTACATGTTATAATTGGTTGTTTTATTGTACACTACCTAGAATCATGTTTGTGAGATGGGTGTTTATATAAATCAAATAAACAAGCTCAACTAACTGGATTTCTCTCCCCCCCCCTTCCATTTAATTATGCTGATTATCCCTGCTGTTTTGTTGGCAAAGTTTTTTAAAAGTGGTTTGCCATTGCCTTCTTAGGGCTGAGAGAAAGTGATTCTAGGATTCTAGTGTTCTGTGTGAAAAGTTGTTCTTCAAAATTCTATCAAATGATCTCACTATAATATAATTCTTGCCAAAGAACAAACTTCTGTTCTTAAGCAGAGAGCTGTCATACCCTAGACAAAATCCCAACTCCTGGGCCAACTAAGCAGACTAAAGCTCCACTATCTACTCTAATTGCAGCATCTAACTTAATATTAATATAGGATAATTGTATCTGTTAAATCTTACATATTGGTTGCAGTAGATTACCAAGAGTCTTAGGCCTATGGTTTCATCTTGTAATAGACCATTCAGTATTTGAAATAGCTTATTTTACTGGTTGTTGGATATGCTCTTTTGCTAGCCCATTAGAATAAGCTGAAATATAGCCTCTCACCTTTGTTTAATCATAGGATAGTCAATATCAACTTACTTTTTTTCAACTCTTCAGATTATCAAGGAACTAACAGCTGTTTTCCTTGGTAGAGGGTTATCAGGAGGAATAGTGACTTCCTGGATAGGTGACGGTAGGTCTAAATCTGAGCAAGTGAGGATCTATCTGCCTATATAGTGATAGCTGTATATAATATTTCTCACCTATAGATAACTTTCCTGCTTAACATGAAAAGAGAACATAGAATAAATAATGTTCTATAACATAGGAAGACTCAGAAGAGACAGTCCACTTCCATTTAAGTGGTCAGGCCAGAAATTAATGACAACTGTGAAATCATGAACAATTTCTGACAGGGAATAGAACAACCAGCGGAGAGGATTTTGGCAGTTCCCAAAATTTCCTGTGTTAGACTTGATAAGTTTATTATGCACCAATGTATTTTTAAAAAAGTTACAAAAAAATAAGCAATTTACATGGCTGCCTGTATTATTTAAAATCCAGAAGAGACTGAATAGGATAACTTGTTGTTGGAGAAAATATAGATTTGATTTCTGTTTGTTTAATTGATAATGGATTCATTTTTCTTCCATAATAGTTGCACTTTTGTGAAACATTATTATATATGGCATTTTTTTATCTCCCTGAACCTTTCCTGTACTGATTGAAACTGGTTTCTTAATAGTTTTTATTTTATTGTTTCCTTTGTCTCAAAGAGGCTATTAGAGGAAATATAAACTGTGAGTAAGACGAATCATATTAAGCTAGAATCTTTCTGATTTTAGGGATTGAGTTTACTATTTGACTTGTTTGGGTTACTATAAAGGTATTTTCCTCTATAAAAGAAATATATTGCCTAGTTAGTTGATACCACTATGCTATTGATATTTTAGACTACAAAGAAGTCCAGTCTGTCTTTCATAAATAATTCCCAACACAGCCCCTTTTCCAATCCTTTCTCTAAGTGGATACTTCATGTGTGAAAAGAATGACCTTTTACTGTCTGAAGGATAATACCAATATATATAAAACTCAACAAACAGCTTTTCTAAGGCCCACCTGCCCATCACAATCATCTCAAAATGTCCTCTGTGTAGTGCCTTGAGAAGAGGGATGGCTAGCAAAATAGTTTGCCAAAATTGAAAGGGATTGAGACCTTCCTCATAGTAGTTGTTACTGTCATAGTGAGCCTCAGTTGTATGGTATGTGGCCCCATGAGGTGAGTTGAACATGTTATGTGTACCCATAATAGTCTAAGCTTGGAAATCACAGGAGTGCCAACACACTATCAAAATCTGTTGAAGATGTTTGTCAATTACATGCTTGTTTGTAGTTTAATCCTTGGCTTAAACTTAAATGCTTGGATATCTTTGTAGAATATAACATTCAATTATTTTAAATTCAAAATAACAATGTTTTAGCATCTGAATGGAACTGTATTCATTAATTTGGTCATGCACACATGCTTATAATATTTGCTCTGTTCTAGAAAGCAATACTAGCTTTTTTTCTAGTGGTACAGATATTAAACTGAAATAATAATTTGCAAATTTAATTCTCAAATCATTTTCAATATACTTACATTAGTCATTTTTTCATTTATTGTAGAGCTTGCTTCTCAGTTTATGTTTGCTGAAAATCAATTATTAAAGA